GGGATGTCCGTCCCCAGCGGGCCCGGTGTTTCCCGCAGCCTACAGCAGGGGCCTGGGCCCCGGTACCCGTCCCCCGGTGTCGCCATCCCGGGCCCGGTGCTCGCCGGGGCCTGGCTGTGCCAGTCGGTGGGGCTGAGCCTCCCCCTCCTTCCCCGCCCTTAACACCGTCCGTGGGGCGCGGCAGAGGAACCCCTGAGACGTAGGTCCTCACCGGGCCCAGCGCCGGGCACCGGATAGGTGCCTTGCCGGAGAAAGGCCTGCGCAGGCTGCCGGTACCCACCGGTACCCACCGGCTGCCGTCCCGCCTCGGTTTGCCAGGATCGCCTCACACTGCCCGTCGCCGTGTGCCGAGCCGGCTGCACCTTGTCCGCACGACGTCCGCTTGCCGGGCGCCTCCTTGCCTCCCGATCCAGTCGGAAAAGCTCCTGCCACCAGCTCCCATCAGTCTCCGGCGAAGCTCAGCGGCATCCCCTCCCCGGGGGGGGGGTCCCAGCCAGAGCTCGGAGGCTCGTGGGTGTCTCCCTTTGGTTCCCGGCTGTTTTGGGAAGCCTGAGCTTTTGCTGGTGGCGTTCAGCAGTCATGTCCCCGCCGCTGGCTCTTCTGCTGTCCCCTGCCCCGGGGCCGGTTTAAAAGAACTTTTTCTGTGGCGCACCATGCTCCTCTGCCCCTTCCCAGCTGGTGCGGTGAGCACCATGCTCGGGGCAGCCCAAACGCCCCAGGGATGGTTCCCGAGGGTCTCCGGATCAACAGCAAGGGACGAGTGTCCCTTCCCTGCCCACTGCCTGCCAGCCCCAGGAGGCAGCTGGGTCCCTGGGTGCAGGCAGGGCTCTGGCAGCTGCTATTCCCCATGGAAGGCAGGGGTCCCGCAGCCGCCTCAGCCAGCTGCCTTTGCTGGCATCTCTGCCAGCAGTGGGTTGCGGCATTGCTCCGGTCCCCGTCAAATCCGGGGCTGCTGGGGGGGGGGGTGTCAAGGGGGAATTTTTCGGGATCCAGTCGGCACATGGCTCCAGCTGGGTTAGCGGCAGATGGGGGCTGGCAGCGGGGACCCCCCAGTGCCTTTTCCCACTGAGCCCCCCCCACTCCCCACCAGCAGCCAACGCTGCCGGTGCTGCCGTCATGCTGGGGCCAGGAATGGGTCTGTGCCAGCCCTGCCAGCCCTCTGTCACCCAGGGTGACGGCAGCGAGCGTACCCATGGCCGGGGTCAGACATTGTCGCTTCCCTACGGCCGCACCAGCAGCAGCGGCAGCAGCTTTCTGTGCCGTGCGCCTTTAACGAGCGCGGCCTCGGCGCGGTGACGTGGGGTGGCCCAGGGCCAGGAAGGGGAACCGTCGCCTGCCAGCCCTGCTGAAGAGAAGCCCAACAACTTTTCTTTTGTGCGTGGCCGCTGGCTCTCTGGCCCTCCCCGGCTGCCAGCGCTCATGGCGGATTAAACCCCGCGCGCCGACAGCGGCTGCTGCGCGCCCCCGGTAAGGCCCGAACAAAGACTTTATCCGTCTTCCTTGTTTGTTTTCAAGAGGGCCAGGGAGGAGGAGGAGGAGGAGGAGGAGGAGGGAGGCGGGGGAGGCAAAGCTTACCGTCTCCCAACCCCACCGCCTCACTGCAGCGTGTGGTTCCCTCCCCGGCGCCTCGCGAGCCCCCAAGGTGCGAATCCCTGACTCGCGTCGGAACGCGGGCGGCCCAGTTGGGTTCGCCAACATCCGGGAGCTCAGGCTCCGGGGTGGCGGCTGTGACACCCCCCCCGCCGCCTTTCACCGCTTCCTCCCCACGCCGGCCTTGGACCGGGGAGGGGGCTGCCGTGGGTCGCCCACCCTGCCTGGGTGAGCTGCTAGGCTCTTCTTGCAGCGGGACCCCCTGCCCCGGGATAGCTGGGGGGGCCGCGGGCGCGTCCCTCTGGCAGGTTGGCGCTTCGGGAGCTCTGGAGGCGCAGGCTTGCGTAACGCCGTGTTTTGACCGGAGCGGGCGCTGGGGGAAGGAGGCGAAGGACAATGCCGCTGTGGCCGGCACCGCTGCCAGGGCTTGTGTCCCCCCCCCTTTCCCCACCGGCCCCGTACCCACTGACCCCCCCCTGCAGCTCCGCTCCCCGGATATGTGGTTGGAAAGCGTTCATGGCTGCTGCCGTGCTTTGTGCCGACACACCGGGCTCCCCAACCGCTTCCCGTCTGCCATCGCACGGATCCAGGCGTAGCGTGAGCGGCGTGTCCCCACGGAGGGTTGTGTTGTTGTCTCTGGCGAGCACGGCTCAGGGAAGGCGACGTTGCCGGCGATGAGCCAGGCTGTGAGCAGGGCAGGAGCTGGGCACTGGCACTTCTGCAGACAGGCTCCGGTAAAATCCAGCTCGGTCCTGGTGGGGTGTGCTCAGTGGGATGTGGCCCTCCGTGGTAGAAGACTATGTTCAGTGCTGGCACGCATGTTTTGCCCGGAGGCTTCAGGTGGATTTCTGGGGAAAGATCCTGGCCCAGGCACGCTGCACCCCCGGCCGTGGGGCTGGGGGGGTGGTGGGTGCCGAGAGGCTGTGTGCTGCAGCTGTGGGGCAGAGGAGTGGGATTTTAGCCAAATTGGAGGGAGGACCCGTCCCGCCAAGGAACCTGCATTTCCCAGCTGAGCTCACGGAGGCAGTGGGAGCTCCGTGTCCCCCCAAAGCCATTGCGGCCAGTGGCTGTGGTGTGCTGGGCGCTCCCGGGAGTGGCTGCGGATTCGGGGCCCCCCCACCTCCCCACCCCGGCAGGTGGTTCTCCTTAGCACCGTCGGCAGCAGGCAGGGAAGCTGGCAGCGTTCCGACGGCTTGGCTGCTGCCTCGCCGGGCTTGTTTGGGGCCAAGTGACCTTTGCAGGTTCCTTCCAGCCCCTGCGGCGGTGCCCGGCCGGGGGCAGAGCGGGCAGCCTGCCTGCCCCCGAGGGTCCCAGCAGCTGGGGGTCATGGCAGCTGGGGAGGTGGGTGACCAGGGAGTCCCGGTTCCCACCCTGCCAGTGTTTTGGGGGCTGGTGGCCACACAGCTGGGAGGAAGCCAGAGCTGCTGTGGGCAGTACCACGGTGGGAGCTCAGCCCCTTGCCGGGCAGGCAGGGCTGGCTCTGGCCACCCAGCAGCCTGGGTTCCCTCCTTTTTCTTTCTCTTTTTAAATTTCCTTCCACCATGAGGTCCGCGGGAGATCCCTCCCCCTGTCAAGTCCTGGCAGCCTGCTGTATTCTCCATGGCTCCCACCACGCTCTCAGCCAGAGCCGGTTGACCTGCCCGGTTTGAGTGCTTGTTTGCTACTGCTCCCCAGTCCTCCTCTGCTCCCCAAGGGCCATGCCGTGATCCGTAGCTGCTTCATCCTGCTGGGGCTGGCTGCCTCTTGGCACAGTGCTGGGGGATTTTTTCCTGCTCTTGCCCATCCCGCAGGACCACTGTGGCTCTTGGCATGGCATCCTTACACATGCCAGATTTTTGTGCTTTGAACCACGCTGCCTTTCTCTCTGAAGTTGGTGCTCATGTTTTCTAGAGGGAGGTGAATTTTCCTGGCATGCCGGGGCTTCCCGGCAGTGATACCGGTTCTCAGCCGTGACTGGCGGCAGGGGGAATGCCATCCCTGGGTGGGCAGCAAGTGCCAACGAGCTGCCAGCCCCTGTGCCAGGAGCCCGCTGGATGCCCAGGTCAGGCTCCCTGCCTCCAGCCTGCCACAGGTAGAGGAGCCCGGTGGTTCGGCACAGCCATGGAGAAGGCCTCGGCCACGTGTGGTGCCCCACGGTGAGGCTGGTGGGCAGGATCCCTCGGGGTGATGGCAGCCACCGGTGCCAGCTGGCCCGAGCCACGACCGGTTGTTTTGTGCCGCCATGGTGTGACCTGAAAGATGGGCCTGATGGAACGCTGCCCTCCTCCTTGGGGGACTGGGGCTGAAACCAGTGGCGAGGGGGACCTGCCTGGGCATGGGATCGGAGCAGGCTCCTGGGGTGCCAGGCCTTTAAATTTCTCTTAAAAAAAATTTCAGAGAAGTTTGGGAGTGAGGGGGAGGTAAGGAGGCACAGCAGGAGGTGCTGGCTACAAGGAGCCTGAGCAGCGGTTTTCCCTTGAGCCTTGTTCGTCAGGATCCTGATCTCCGGGGGTAAATCCTGGGGGGCTGTGGGAGAGGACCTGGCTGCTGCTCGGCAATGCTGCTCCCCGCTCAGTGCCTGCTGAAAAGCAGGAGGATGTTGGCTGCTCACCTCCCTACAACCCACAGCCGGCCAGGCACAGTGGGCAGATCCTCCCTTGACAGACATGAATGCCTGGTGCTGTGTGCAAGCTGTATATTAATGTAATTACTGTGTTTGGCCTTAATTGCCTTTTTTTTTTCCCCCTTTGTTGGCATTCCTAGGTCCGGGCAGTCACCTGGCAGCCTCGCAAAGATGCCTCTTCACAGCGCGAGAGCTGCGGCTCTCCTCACTTGGGTAAAGCCTCCCTCCCTCTCCTCTGCCGTAGCTTGCTCCGTAGGTGGGACATGCTGCTGGGGTGGGTCCCAGCTGCTGCCGGCACCGGCAGCTCCTTGGGGGCACGATGCCGGGGCCGGTCAAGGGATGGATTGTGGCTGGGGCAGGTCCTGGGGCGGCTGAGTCCCTGCCATTCCTGGGCAGGTGGGTGTTTGCAGGAGAAGCCTTGCTCACTGTTCCTGTTGAGTAACCAGAAATGCCGGAACAGCTTGGTCTGGCTGTGGAAACTGCCTGGGATCCAGAGCCGAGCCTGGAGCAGGCAGCAGGCTTGGGAAGTGAGCAGCAGCTGGACCATAAAGGGGCTGTTGGATCTGCCTCACGAAGCAGTGCCATGTCCGAGCGAAGCATCGCAGTGTGATAATCGAGACCCATGCCGGCCTGTCTGGCTGTGGAGCCGTGGGGATTGCATTCAGCTTTTGCCTGGACAGGGCAGGGGTGGTCGGAAGGGCTGGCTTTGCTCTCACACCCAGACCGGTCTTGCTGTCCCCTGCCAGGACTGGGAGGTGGTGGGTGGCACAGCATGGCATGGTGTTGGCTTCTGCCTTCTGACCATCTCACCCCATTTCTAGGTGAACAGCACAAAAGTTTGTCCTGATCCCCTCGATGATCTGTCACAGCTCCAGGACTGCAGCATCTTCATCAGGATCATCAACAAAATGTGAGTACAGGGAGCCGGGATGTGCTCTCCAAAGCACCTGGCTGGCTGGAAGGCAGCAGCGAGCACGTGCTGGGCTGCCTCCCGGAGCCACAGCCTCGGCTCCCAGGAGTCTCCTCCAGCTGCAAGCATGGTCCCTCTCTGGGCAGGGTGGGAGCGGGGGTCCTGGCAGACCTGATGCTGGATCTCTGGCTCCTCCATGTGAGGCTCCGGTAAAGCAACAGCACCTGCGTAAGCAGCACTTGCCGCCGGGTGTGCTCTGAAACCTGCTGCAATGAAACGCAGGGCTTGTGTCTTCACACTGTGGCTCCTTTGCATGTAAACCCACTGCGTGTGGGACGATGAACCTTTTCGGCTGCTTTCCTTGGAAGCCTCCGTACGTAGATGAAGTACCAGGGCTCTGCCTGCAGCTCAGGCTCGAGAACAAACCTACTTGGGGTAGCTGGGAGAGGGTCTGCTCCACTGCCTGCTCTGCAGGCAGGGGCTGCCCATTGTGTGGCCAGGGTCTGCCTGTGGAGCTGCCCAGGTAGGATTTTGGCCAGAGTTTCTGTCATTTGAGGCTTGCTATCACATCTGGCACTGATGTCTGGGCTTACTCCTGGTGTCGAAGCAAAGAGCAGAGGGCTGATACCAGCAGTGCGGGGGCTCCTGGAGCTGCGTGGGAGATGCTTTATTTCCATAAATGCTGCTCGGGTGAGGAAACAGCCCAGCAAGTTTTCCTGAGCCGCAGCCTCGGGATCCTGAGGAAGCCTTGGGTCTGTAAAGCAGCTTAAAGAATGACAGCTCCCACCCCATGAAGCGCTCCTGTTCTCTGGGGACATCAGGCTGCTTCCGAGTATGATACGGGCAGGATGGAGTCTGTTTGCTCTGTCCCGGGAGCCGGGGTGGCTGGGCAGGGGCTGAAGAAAAGCCTCCATCAGGAGCTGCATTCATTGCATGTGAGCAAGGGCGATTAAAGCCTGCAAGCCATAATGGGCATTGGAGCTAGGACCGAGCATGCTCCGCTGCGGCTGTGCGTCGTTAATGAGCTGGTGAGGCAAACTGGGAGGGCGTGAGGCTGCCGCTCAGCGCCGAGCGCGGCTTTGCTTTCAAACCCTTCCGGCGGGAGGCTCTGTGGGAGCCTGTCTGCTATAATTACCTCCTGCACGGTGTAACAAGAGCCTGCTCGGAGCAGGGATCTGCCTGTGGTGGGTGGGGAGGAAGGAGCCGCCTGCACCGGGGATATATTTAGTCAGACCTGGTTAATCTCCTGGGTCTGTGCTCCAGCTCAGATTAGCTGGGATCACCAGCGGCCTGTGCTCACTAAACAGGCCTGACCATAGCTTGATAAGTGGGGGGGCCGCCACGGCAGCCAGGTGAGCTGAGGAGCTCCCTGCAGCACCAGGAGACAGGCTGGGAAATCCGTGAGGATGAGAAAATCCTCATGCCAGCCCCTTCCCAGGGCCAAGTCCCTGCTTTCGGCACCCCGGGAGTAACTGAAGGTACCAAAGCAGTGCCGGTCAAGCACAGCTGGCACAGGTTTTAGGCACACGGTCTCTGTTTGAGCTGGCGGCTGTTGAGGAAGAGCATGGTCTCGAATAAGAGCCACAAAAGACAGCTTCAGCTCCCCCGCTCCAAAATCCAACGTGGGCTCCAGGGCAAGCAACCCAGAGGGGAGCGGGGTCCGCCTGTGTCTCCAAAATGGTGACGCTTTGCGATAGCAAGAAAAGCACCCGGTTCCATGTGCGACCCCTGGCCCCCACGGTGCCTCCCCGGCTGGCGGGGATGCCGCCGGCTCCCTCTGCCGCGCCGGATGCCGGGGCTGGCAGGCAGAGGAGGAAGCGGCGGAGGTCGGCAGCGCTCCGGCACACGCTCCGGGGGGGCCAGCTGCCCGGCTCCGTCTGCTCACCAAACGCAGCCATGTTTGCTGGGGCTGTGGGGAGCGTCTGCGCCTGCTCCCGGGCATGGCGTGGTTGGCTTTTGCTTCACCACCCGCCCTGGCATGAGGGCATAGGGCAGGCTGGCGTCGCGTTGCCCGAGAGCCAGCCCCTCGCTCGGCAAGCTCTGTTGCAAAAAAAGCACCATTCGTTTAAATCCCTCGGCAAAACATTAACGCAACCCGTGCACTCTTCTAGCCACAGGAGCGAGGAGGGGGAGTCTGTGCTGGAGCAGCCGCTGCCGGAGAGGATCTCCTTCATCCGTGGCTTCCTGCAGAGTAAGAGCCTCCGCTGGGGGAAGCGGCTGCCCCTGCTCGGTGCCTCCCACCCCTGTGGGGGTCTGGTCTTGTGTCTGCAGGCTTCCCCTTCCCCCAAGTGACCCCCCCGCTGCATCAGCAGCTTCATGAGGTGCAGGCAGAGCTGCTGTGACCCTGTGGCAGCGTGCGGGAAGGAAAGCTTCCCGATGGAAATCCTTGCTGGAGCCCGGGCTTGGTGCAAAGGAAGTCCAGGGGGTGAAGGGCAGGGTGCTGGTGGCTGCTCCGGTGATGCTGCTTTGGGGCAGCATTCCTCACCCGGTGGCTGGCCTCAAGCTGCTCAAATCCTGCTGGAAAACCCTTATCTGAGCAGGAACCCTGGGAGGAGATACGGGAAGTCTCTTGCACTTTTGCTTGGCCTCCCTTGGAAGGGGAGACACTATATCCCACCCTCCATAGATGGGTCTTGGTTTGGGCTGGTGGTGGAGGAGCAAAAGGCGCAGACTGATGCCGAGGGTGAGGTGGGGAGGTTGGGACTGAGGGGCAAGTTGTCAGAGAGGGGAAAAAAGCCCCGTCAGAGTTAATGGCAGAGGCTGAGCACTGGGGGCTCAGCTCTGGAGCCCAGCCTGCCCTGTGCCTCCCCGCCTGTGCCCCTTCTCCTTGGGGATGCATCACGGTGCCTCTCAGCCCAAGCGCGTCACCACGGGGGATGGACACATGCCACAGGCTGGCAGGCAGCGTGCCCAGCGGCAGGGACTCCTGCGTGACTGGGAATCCTGCTTCACGTTGCAGAGCACTGCAAGCACAAATCGGCCACGGAGAACCTGGTCTCGGCACAGAAACTGCTGGAGGGAGAGGAACTGGCATTGGCCAAGGTAACTGCCGGGCACGCTTTATTCCTAGCCGGCACCAATGTGCCGGTGACCGACCTGGGGTCGGTAACGCTTACCTGCCTCGTTCCAGGTGGCCGTGCTGCTCCTGTATCACACCTCCATGAGCTGCAAGAGCCCCAGGGAGTGGTATGAGTTTGACTACAAGACTCAGGTAATTCCTTCTGCGTTCCCCCTCCGGACCAGGGGTGTGGGGGGGAGCGGAGGTGCCTTTTGGGGATGCTCTGAGACCTGCCCTCGTGTTTGGGTGCCCTTGAAAGATGGGGTGGGTGCTGCAGTGCTCTGGGCAATCAAAGGCTTGTGACTGTGAGTGTGGCTACCTGCCAGTGCAGGCACAGGCAGGCAGGGAGCTGCCCGCTGCCCCAAGCCTGCTGTGGTCGTTGCCTGACTGGCACCACTCTGCCTGCGAACCGCAGCTGCTGCAGCAGAGTTGCTGACCCTGTGGCTCCTCTGACACAGGTTGAGCTGGCATCGATCCTCAAATTTGTGCTGGACAATGAGGAGAGCCTGAATGAGAATCTGGAGACGTTTCTGCAGAGGAAAGGTGAGCGCCAGGCCCTGGCTGCCTCTGCTGTGGCACTAGCTTGGAGTAATGGGCCAAGCCTTGCGCAGGCAGAGCAGGCATTGGGCACGTTTTTCTCCTAGCTGGCACCAATGCAGTGCCCTGGTAAGACTGACAGGTTAACGTGTTTGCAGTAGTGATGTCCAAGTGCCAGCTCAGAGTGGGACAGAAACAGTCCATAACCTTGCAGAGAGCAGCAGTGGGATATTGTGAGTGCTGAGCACTGCTGGCATCTTTCCATACAGCTCCCATGCCAGCAGCACCTAACCGGCAAGGATGAGCCTTTTCTAGAGCATAAAAACATTGGGCTTTTTTCCCCGTTTGTGCTGCTATAGCTGCCAAGCCATAAGAGCAGCAACACCATCCAGATCCCTGCACCCCAGGACTGAGCACTACGACATGGTTCCTTGTAAGCTCTTCTTTAAGAGTAGGGCTGCCTTATACCTGTTGGGCTCTTCCCACTCGGCAGCATCCCAGCCTTTGTGGTGCATGCCGCTTTCCCTGGAGGAGCAAGGCAGGTGGGATGCCCACAGCTTTGTGGTGGGAGTGGAGTGCCAGGGCAGGACCGTGGAACTGGCAGGACAGGGATGTAAGGCAGGTTTATGGCTTTCTCGGCTGGGCTGATCGCTGGAATTTGTGGTCCCTGCGCACCTGGGATTTCAGCTGCTAAACCCTCCCTTCTGGTATTAACGTGAAGATCACAACTTGCTTCTCCCTTGTGATTTCCAGCACCGCCATCCTCGTCCAGCGCATCCAGCAGCAGCTCTGAGGAGCACTCCCCGCTGCTCTCCCTCCCGCACAAGCGAGAGGTGCGTTTCCTGGAACTGCAGAAGATTGCCTCCTCCTCCTCTTCCTCCTCGTCCTCCTCCTCCGGCACCAACAAGTATGTCCCCAGCCTCTTGGCTGCTGGGGGGGTGAGGGAAGGGGGGGGGAACGGACAAGACAGCTGCTGGGACCCAGAGATGTAGCCAGGGTGCATGCTGACTTGACAGAGACCCCCTTTCTGCCGCGGTGCTGTCCTGTTGCAAACTCCTCAGGCTTGATATGGGGATGTACGGTGGTGGGGTGAGGTCAGGCTGTAATTAACTCCTCTTTGCCTTGCTCGTTTCAGCCTAATGAGCACAGACACTTCCCAGAGCAGCTTGTGGCCCTCTCCTGCCCTGGGGTGGGTTTGGGAGGACCAGGCTTGTGTCGCTGCTGGATGTGCTAAAGGAGTTTCTCTCTAGCAAGCTGTGAATGCTCTGTGGTGGGGCTCCAGCTATGGTGGGAAGTGAGATGGATGCTTTGCCCTGGAACTGGTTTTGTATGTGCATGGCAGACATTTAGAGGCTGGTGTTACTGTAATTGAGATGAGGAGAGTGGCCTTTCTGCTCAGGCGACGAGGATCAGAGTTATTGCTCTGAACCTGCCTCTGAGATGGGGGAACCAGAGCGGGTCTGGCTGCGCGGGGAGGGACTGTGCCCCGCTATTGGCTCTGGATGACTGAGTTATGTGGTGTGCCTCTCTGCAGCACGCTCTCTGGCTCTCCATCCTCGCCCATGGGGGATGTCATGCAGACCCCCCAGTTTCAGCTGCGACGGCTGAAGAAGCAGCTGGCTGTTGAGAGAGAGAACCGGGATGAGCTGGAGGTGGAGCTGGCAGAGAATCGCAAGCTCATCACAGAGAAGGGTCAGTCGCTAGTGGGATGTCCTGGGGCGTGGGGAGGGCTCTCGAGGGCTGGCACCTCTCCTGGTTTCTGTGACTCTGTTACAGCTTTGACCCCACCATGACTGTGCTCATGCACAGTCTATCCTGCCAGACCCCAGGTGAGCACAGCTTGTGGCTTTGGAGCTTTTCTGCTTCCCAGAGCAGACAGGGTAGCTTGGGGTTTGCTGTGCCTTGCTCCATAGTGGGCCAAGGGGACCCTTGCCTGTTAGTCTGGAACAAAGGGTGATGCAGAAAGCCTTGCTGATGGGAGCCAAGACAGCTCTGATGCTGTTGTAACAACTCTGAGCACCTCTTGGAGATGGCTGGTTGTCCCCCTGCCAAATGATTTGGAGCAGGCTGGCAGGCGTAGGAGTCTCGGCATCCACATCTAAAACACTCTCTGCACTGGGGATTTCCCCAGGCGCATGTGGAGACTGCAGGTTCCTTCTTCCCTCTTGTATTCCCTTACATATCCTGGGCAACAGAAGCCATGACTGAAGCAACACCCATGCTGAGCAGCAGTGCTCACAGCCTGGCTCTTCTGTCTTGTGCTGCAAAGGGTTTCTGTGCAGTGGCTCCTCACCAGCTTGGGAGAAGGACAGGCATCCTCCACTCTGCTGTTGGGGGGGTTCAAGTGACATAAAAAGATGGTAACGGGCCCTTTCTCGCTCCTTCCTCAGAGGCTCAGATCACAATGATGCAGCAGCGGATTGATCGCTTGGCTCTGCTCAACGAGAAGCAAGCTGCAGACCAGCTGGAGCCCAAGGAAATGGAGGAGCTGAGGGAGAAGAATGAGAGGTAATCCTCCAGGGACGTCCGCTCCCTCCTGCTAGGCTGGTCCTTGTCACTCCCACATCCCTGGACTCCGTGTTGTTTGTCTCTTTCCCAGCAACGCACTAAACAGGGATGAGGGCAAACCTCCTCTTGTTCTCTGCTACCTCCTCTGCAGCTGCACCCCGAGGAGGAGATGGCTTCGGCAGTCACAGAATCGTAGAATAGTTTGGGTTGGAAGGCACCTTTCACAGTCATCTAGTCCAACCCCCCTGCCATGGGCAGGGACATCTTCAACCAGATCAGGTTGCTCAGAGCCCCATCCAACCTGACCTTGAATGTTCCCAGGGATGGGGCATCGACCACCTCTCTGGGCAACCTGGGCCAGTGTTTCACCACCCTCAGCTTAAAACATTTCTTCCTTATATTTAGTCTGAATCTACTCTCCTTTAGCTTAAAACCATTACCCCTTGTCCTATTGCTACAGGCCCTGCTAAGAAGTCTGTCCCCATCTTTCTTATAAGCCTCCTTTAAGTACTGGAAGGCTGCTATAAGGTCTCCCTGGAGCCTTCTCTTCTCCAGGCTGAACAATCCCAACTCCCTCAGCCTGTCCTCACAGGAGAGGTGTTCCAGCCCCCTGATTGTTTTTCTGTCCCTCCTCTGGACCCACTACAACAGGTCCAAGTCTCTCCTGTGCTGACGACCCCAGAGCTGGATGCAGTGCTCTGGCGGGGGTCTCAGCAGAGCAGAGGGGCAGAATCCCCTCCCTTGACCTGCTGGCCGCACTGCTTTTCATGCAGCCCAGGACACGGTTGTGCCAGCCAGCACGCTGCACCTCATGGTTGGGGCGATTATGGCTCGTAGCCCGTTTTTATCGCAGCAGGCAGGGAGCCAGTCCCAAACAATGCAGTGTGTTCTGACAGCCTGCTCCTTACCCTAAAGCCAGCATGGGAACTGCCATCCCTGTTGTGGGAAAAGGGTATGCTGCCTGCGTGGGTCTTGCCTGCCTGGGATAGACTCTGTGTCACTGAAAGCTGTCAGGGTGATATTGCAGCTCCCGACCCCAGCCCCTTCTCCAGCTGCTAGCCCTCCAGTTTGATCCAATTTGATCGGATCTGAACTGGGCTGCGTCACGCACTTGAATTCCGTTGCCTGCCATGCTGTGTCCCAGTCTTTGCCCTGTCCCTGTGCAGTGACATATTTACTTGGGAAGGACGCCCAGCCTCCACTGGCAGGTGCTGTGCCTTTTTTGTCCTTTCCTCACTTATTTCACTTTGCAGAGGGGTGGCTGGAGTCCTGCAGCTGCCTCTGCCCTCGGTTCTGAGCGGTTGTGCTCATGCAAAGCACAAACACCGCTTATCCCTGCTCCACTTTGTGATGTATTGGGACCCAGTTTAGAGCTGAATTTGTGGTAGTTTCTCACCACGGCACAGAGATACTTTGGTACCTTAGCTTTCTCAGCAAAATCCAGCAGCATCTGTCCCCAGCAATGTCCTCACCTGCCTTGTTTGTGCCCTGCTAAGCCGCAGCATAACGACCTCCTCTCCCGCAGCCTGATGGTGCGCTTGCACGAGGCCCTCAAGCAGTGCCAGGACCTCAAGACTGAAAAAGGACAGATGGACCGAAAAATCAACCAGCTCTCCGAGGAGAACGGGGATCTTTCCTTCAAGGTACGGGGCACTGTGTCCTCTCCATGTCCCCACAGCCGAGTTGTTTGTGTTGGGGCCCAGGGGGGAAGGATTTGATGACAGTGACGGCTGCTGGGCTGCTTATGGCTCTGCCACTGGCCTTGTGTGACCTTGACCCTGTGACCAAGCCTGCTTTGGGCTCCAGATCCTGATCCAAAGGGGAACCGTGGTGGAGGAAATAGCGGCCGGGTAGAGTTGCCTGCATGCAGTGCTGCAGGTGCAGGGCATGGGCACCCAGGACCTGGGACGTCTGTGGATGTTGCGGTGCCCAGCGCTCGGGAGAGGGGAGCTGAGCCAAGCCCTGGGCAGCGTGGGCACTCTCTGACCCTCCGCTGGGATGGGGGATTTTTCCCTCCACAGCTGCGGGAGATTGCCAGCCACTTGGTCCAGCTGCAGGAAGCCCTGAACGAGCTCTCGGAGGAGCACAACGCAGCCCTGGCGCAGTCGCAGGAAAAGCAGGGACAGCTGGAGAGCGAGCTGCGTGCTGCCCTGCAGGAGAAGGTGAGGGGGCCCCGGGGTCCCACCTGGGCAGTGGGTGCCCCCTGCTCTGCTGCACCCGTAGTCCCCCCGGCTGGGGGATGTCTCCTGAGGCTGGCTCATGCCCTGACGGCTGCAGGCAGGGTGGAGTGGGCAGGAGCCTCCTGCCCATCTACGCCGGCACACAGGGAGAGGCTGTGCAACAGCCGGCTCCCGTGGGGAGTCTCTCCCTGCTCCTAGGAAGGGTTCTCCATGGTGGGACAGGCTGCTGTCCTTGCAGCGAGGAGAGAAGCCCTGAGCCTGCTGAGACAAAGCTGCCGGAAAGCTTGGCGTCGATTAAAGCTGGGTGACTGCACTGCCCCTCGCTTGGTTCCCTCGCCTCGCGTCATGCTTAGACTCGCGTCTCTGTCCCCAGAAATGCTCGGAAGAGAAGATCGAGATTCTCCAGGGGAAGATTTCTCTGCTGGAGGACCAGCTGGCCAAGCTGGGGGACTGCAGTGCCCAGGAGAAGGGAGAGGTCATGGGGGACATCCTAAAGGTATGGCTGTGTCTCGAGTGAGCCTCTGGCTCCTGCAGCGAGGGCAGGCAGTGCTTGGATGGAAAACTCCTCTAGCTGGGGAGAGCAGCAGGTGCTGGGGGGATGCACGGCAAAGCTGTGTGGGGCAGAGCCGGCTGCTTTCTGCTGTTGGGTGGGGATTGTGGGGCTGAGCACTCTGTGGGAGCCCCTTTTGTGCCAAATTTGGGAATACCACTCCCACGTAGCTGCTGGCTCCCCCAGCCTCCTGTAGCACAGGTTGGTTGTGGAGGGAGAGGCTCCGGCATAGTGAGAAAAGGCATTTGGTCCGAGAGAGCAGAGTGGCACAAGGCTAAGGGGAAAGCGGGTTGTGCTGGGGCGCACCGGGTTTGCTGGGAGGGAAGGCAGGTGCTGGGCAGCTCCTGCTGGGATGCAGTGTGTGGGTCTCTGGTGAGAGTGTTGGATGCAGCTTGAGTAACGCCTGGGGGTGTCTGTGTTTTGTTCCCCCCCATCCCCGCTTCTCTCTGCCAGCTGGAAGAGCTGAAGCAGGAGGTATCCAGCCTTGCCGCTAAAGGGGCCGAGCTCCAGGCCACCGTCCTGCGGCTGGAGGAGGAGAAGCAGCTGCGGGAGGCAGCCCTGCAGTCCGAACGCGGCCGCTTTGAAGAGGAGAAGCAACAGCTGGGCAGCCTCGTCGCTGGCCTCCAGAACTCTCTCTCTGAGAGCCACCGGGCCAGGGAGAGGCTGGAGCAGGATCTGCGGGCACGAGAGGCTGGCGAGCCCCAGGGCACCCCGCTGCAGGGCCAGGGGGCCGAGGCAGAGGCAAGGAGTGAGGGGGAGGCCGGGCGGCTGGCTGCCCTCAGTGCCCAGCACGAGAAGACCCTGCAGGAGAGGGACTCTGCCCTGCAGCAGCTCCAGCACCTGCAGGAGGCCAACGCGTCCCTGAGCAGCCAGCTGCAGGCCATGGCGCAGGCTCAGGATGCCAGCCAGGAAGAGAAGGCTGAGCTGAGCCGCAAGGTCGGTGAGCTGGAAGCCAGGATCCTCGAGCTCGGCGCCCAGCGGCAGCAGGGAGCAGCGGAGGGGCTGAAAGCCCAGCTGCGGGAGCTGGAGGGCAGGCTGAAGGAGAGCCAGCAGAGGCTGGCCGAGAGGGAGAGGCTGGCCCGGGAGAACACGCGCCTGCAGGAGCGGCTGCTCTTCTTGGAGGAATCCCTGCGGAACACCGAGGGCATCCTGGAGGACGAGAAGAGGCGGGCGGCCGAGAGCCTGGAGGGCAGCCTGGCCAGGATCGCCGAGCTGGAGGCGGAGAGGCAGCAGCTGGCACAGGGCCGGGAACCATCTCTGCAGGAGCGGGGCGAGGAGCCTACCAAGCGCCGGGTGCTGGAGGAGAGCCGGGAGAAGCCAACGGGAGCCTCGCCTGCTGCCAAAGCGGAAGATGGAGAGCGCGGGCGGCTGGAGGAGGAGATGCGGGCGCTGAGCCGGGAGCACGGCCGGACCTGCCAGCGGCTGCAGGCTGAGCAGGAGAAGGCAGCCGCTCTGGAGGCCCGGGCAGAGCGCCTGGCTGCCGAGCACCAGGAGAGGCTGGCTGTCCTCCAGGCCGACCTGTCCAGTGCCCGGGCGCGGGCGAAGGAGAAGGAGGGCGAGGAGCAGAAGCTGAGGGCCGAGGTCTCCTCCCTGCGGGAGAAGATAGCCGTCACGGAGCAAGCCACAGCCCAGCGTGTGGCCGGGCTGGAGGCAGATGCCCGGAGAGCTGCCGAGGCGCTGGAGGGGGTCTCCCAGCAGCTCTCCCAGGAGAAGCTCAAATCCAAGGAGCTGGAAGCTGCCGTGGAGCGGCTGCGGAGCACGGAGGCAGAGCTGTCCCGGGTGGCTGCTGCCGGCAGGCAGCGGGAGCTGGAGCTGGAGGCGGAGGTGAAGAAACTGTCTGGAGAGTTGACCGTGCTGGGCACCAGGCTGGAGGAGATGCTGCGGGAGCACCGTCGGGACCTGGCGCACCGGGAGGAGGAAGCCGAATGCCTGCGGCAGGAGGTGGAACGGGCCAAGGCGGACTGCGCTGCTGAGCGAGCCCGCAAAGCAGAGCTGGAGGTGCAGCTGCAAAACTCCCTCAACGAGCAGAGGGTGGAGCGGTCGGTGCACCGGGAGGAGCTGGCCCGGTCCCGGGAGCTGATGGAAGAGAAGGAGGGGGAGCTGGATGAGCTCCGCCGGAAAAACGTCTTGCGGGGCGAGGAGTTGAGGGACCTGCAGAAGACGGTCAGCAAGCTGAAAGGAGAGCTCGCCTCGGCAGAGGCGGCCAAGGAGCGGGCGCCCATGGCGGACAACGAGCTGCAGGGCTTCTCGGAGGCCACCCGGAGCAGGGATGCGGAGGGGGACAGCGTCAAGGCCACCTGCTCAAAGGAGATGTCCCTCAAAAGCTTGGAAGAGAAGACCCGTCACAGGGACCAGGAATCCGGCTCGAGCCAAGACCTTTACCAGGAGAAGCTGAAGGAGACCCAGGCACTTCGTTTGCAAGTGGAGGAGCTGGAGCAGAAGTGCAGGGAGCAGCAGGAGGCTATGGCCACCCTGGAGCGAGCGGCGGCCGAGGCGGCGATAGCGGAGCAAGCGGAGCTGGAGGCCTTGAGGAGGGAAGCGGCCCAGCAGAAGGAGAAGGCGTCGGAGCTGCAAAAGTTGCTGGAGGCCTCGAGGTCGGCGCAGGCTCTGCACAACAGCACCGTGGAGGCCCTGCGGAAGGAGCTGCAGGAGAAGGGCAGGGAGCTGATCCAGAGCAAAACTGCCATCACCGCTGCCGAGAAGGAGCTGGCGTCCCTCCGCTCCGCGGCGCAGGAGAAGGGCCGGTCGGAGGAGAGCTGGAAGGAGCAAGTGTCCCAGTGCGTCCAGGAGATGGAGAGGAAGAACAGCCTGATCGGCAGCCTGGAGCACGAGGTCTCCATCCTCCATCGGCAGGTGACGGAGAAGGAGGGGGAGAGCAAAGAGCTGAAGCGCCTGATCGTCGCCGAGTCGGAGAAGAGCAAGAAGCTGGAGGAGAGGCTGCGGGTGCTGCAGACGGAGATGGCCACCGCCGCCTCCCGGGCGGCCGAGAGGTGCTCGCTCATGAAGGTGGAGGTGCAGCGGTGCCAGGAGGAGATGGAGAAGCAGCGGTTGGCCATCGAGGCCCTGAAGAGGGACCGCCATTGCCAGAGCGAGCGGGAGGACGAGCTGCGTCAGGAGGTGAAGGTCTGCCAAGACAAGTGCCTCCAGAAGGAGCAGCTCCTCGCCGCCTTGCAGCAGGAGCTCGGCAGTGCCCAGGCGCTCGCCGGGGAGCTGCCGGCGCTGAAACACCTTTGCCAGCAGCTTCAGGCCGAGCGTGCCTCCCTGGAGAGCCAGCACCGCCAGGACCTGGAGCAGAGGGCGAAAGCCCTGGCCGCTTTGCAAGCAGAGCTGGCGCGCGCCAAGCTGGAAGCGGCCGAGGTGCCCTCCCTGCGGGAGCGGTCGGCAGAGCAGGATCGGGCCATCCAGCGGCTGCAGGCGGAGACGGCGGAGCAGGCGGCGCGGCTGGCGGGGCTGCAGCAGGCCAACGCTCGGCTGGCCGAGGAGAACCGTGGGCTCGGCGAGAGCCGGAGCCGCGGGCAGCAGCGGCTCGAGGCAGAGCTCGGCCAGGCCGTGGAGCGGCACGCGCGGGAGCTGGAGCGGCTGCGGTCGGCGTCGGAGGAGCTGGTGGCCGGCAGTCGGCGGGAGGCGGAGGAGGCGGTGCGGAAGCTGGAGGCGATGAGTAACGAGTACGAGAGCAGCAAGGCAGCGGCGCTGGAAGAGAGGAGGAAGCTGCTGGAGGAGAGGCAGAGGCTGACGGCTCAGGTAGGGGTTCCTGCGACCTCCCTGCCGGGCGGGCTGCAGGTGGGGGGGAGCCCCCTGGGAAAAGGGGCGCATTTGGTCTCCTGCGCACCCCTGAATCCTCATCCTCCTGCTCAGCCCAGGAGTTGGGGGTCTGGGACGCGCTCCCCAAGTGATGCTCGGGTGTGAAGGGGACGGGCGTTCCTGGGAAAGGCAGCCCAGTCTGTGCCGGCTGCGTATTCACTTCTGCCTTTTGTGCTCGCAGGTGGAGCAGCTAGAAGTGTTTCGGAAAGAACAAGCTAAGCAGGTAACGCATGCGAAGTGCTGGCTGCTTAAAAGGTGACAGTGCATGGCCCTAGCTGCTGCCGCTTCCCACCGGAGCCACCTTCTCTCGTGAACTGTTTGTGGTGGGGACCCAGCCATGGGGTGCTTGATTCCGGGTCTTTGCGCTTGCGCCTTTGCCTCCATGGAGTAGGAACGGGGGTCCAATCCTGCTGCCTGCCCACTCAGTGGTGCCTGTGGCTCGGCACGGCTTCTCGCTCTCGCCTTCCCAGTGTGGCTCTGGGGCACGCTGCGGGCAGCACGCTGGCAGTGACCGGCTGCCGAGAGCATCTAGGGCTCCTTGACACAGGACCTCCTGTGACACCTTGTCCTCAGAGAGAGGGGATTTGGGGGGAGCTGGGATACCCCATTCCTTCTGTCCATCCCTTTTTCCCCACCCTCTTTAACTGAGGTTCAGCTCCTTGCCCAGCTGGCAGGAACGGCTGGTGCCTGGAGGAGAGGGCTGTGCAGTCCAGATGTGGCCAGAGGTGGGATGCTTTGCAGCAGCATCAATCACAGTCGTGGTGTGGGTTGGCACTTGGGAAATGAAACTGGAAAAGCCCCGTTTCCCTGCCCAGCTTAGTTTGCCCCTTCCAGTCCCAGTCTGAGCTGCTCAGGGACCCCACAGAGGCCTCATGGCTGTGACTGGTGGGGCTGGGGTCTCCACTGAGTGTCCCCTGGAGCAGGGAGAGCCCAGTCAGGCCGGGCAGGAGCTTGCAGCAGCCGGGGTCTGGCAGCCATCTCCCCTTGCTGAGAGTGACAGCCGACCCGTGGGACCGCAGCTCGCAGGCACCCGGGCAGTGAGCGCACTTGCTGCCGAAGGATTTACGAGCCGCCTGCCCACGCCTGGGGCTCCTGCCGTGGCTGGGGTCCTCATGGGGTTCCTTGGTCCTCGGCCCTTCCATGGTGTCACGTCCCGCAGGCACGCTGAGCGAGCTGCAAGCAGCCACCCTCCACTCTCAAACCGCAGCAGCATCCCCTTGGGGATGGGATGCTTCTCCCCCCAAAGCGGGCATGGGCCCCCCTCAAGCTGCGTGGCTTGAGGTTTGGCATGGAGGATGCCCGTGGCAGGCTGGGCATCCTGCTCTTACCCCGAAAACAAACAGCTGGCAGCAGTAATGCCTGCTCCGGAGACAGGGCACTGCGTAACTGCACCATCTTCCCTCGCCCGCCCGCCTAAAGGGGTCTCGGCTCCGCTTCCAGCTGCTCCTTACGCTTGGGTAGCACAAACCTCCTCCCTGCAGAGACTAACGTGAGGTGGTTGGCTGTGCTGCTCGCTGGGGAGCACAGCCTGGAGCTTCCTTGGCAGTGGGCACTGCTGAACAACCCCCCCGGGCCAGGAAACCTCCTCCTGGTCCTGCCCCTGGCGCTGGCCAGAGAGGAGGGACGTGGTTCTCCACAGGAGGGTTGTAGACGGGAGTGTTGTGCCTGGAGCTGGTCTCACTGAGCCATGCTCTTCCAGGTGGAGGAGCTGAATAAAAAGCTGACCCAGCATGAGAAGACCACCCGAACCCAGCAGCAGAGAGTTAAGGTAAACAGGGACCAAAAACCTGGGGGCTGAGCTCTTGGACAGCCCTGGAGCTGTTGGTGGCTGCCCTGGGGTCTCGGTCGGGCAAGGTGGGGGTGCAGGGTGCCTCTGAGCCGGTCTCTTCCCTGCCCGCAGGTGCTGGAAGGGGAGCTGCAGGCAGAGACCACCCGTCAGCAGGAGAAGGTGGCAGAGCTGCAGGCGCAGCTCGCCCAGAAGGAGCAGGCAGCCGAGCACTACAAGGGCCAGGTATGCCAGGGGCTGGCACAGCCCCGCCGTCCCCGTCTCCCTGGGCAGCACGCTGCGGGGAAGCTCGACGGGTTTTCTCTCCTTGACGTCCTAGATGGAGAAGGCAAAAACTTACTATGACGCAAAGAAGCAGCAGAACCAGGACCTGACGGAGAAGCTGAAGGCCATGGAGCAGCTGCAGAAGGAGAACACGGAGCTCCGGAACGAATCGGAGAGGTTGGCCAAGGAGCTGCAGCAGAGCATCCTGCAGGCCAAGGAGTCGGAGCTGAGCTGCAGGAACCTCACCAGCCAGGTCCGCAGCCTGGAGGCTCAGGTGGGCACGGTGCAGCAGGGCTTCACCCTCCTTCTCCTCATCCTCCTCCTTGCCTCCGTTGCCGGCTCGCTTGGAGGATCCAACCCTCCCTGCTTCCCACCCAGGTGGAGTTTGCCGATCGGCAGCTACGGGAGCTCGGCAAGTTCCAGGTGGCAACGGACACGCTGAAGGGCCGGGAGACTTTCCGCCAGAACCCTGCCGATCTCAGCGCCGACAGCCTCGACCTCAGCCTCGACGAAGCGCAGCCGCTCAACTCCACCAGGTACCGACATGCCACAGCTCGGCGCAGCCCGTCCTGCCATCAGCGCCACAAAACCCCGGTGTCCCCGGTCCTCTCTGTTCCCCGATGGCCCGGTAAGCCGGTCAGCGCTGCCCTCGTGCCCCGTCTTTGTAGGAAGCCTGGCCGCTCGCAGTCGGAGGCCTCGGCAGTGCCGCCAGGCAGCGAAGAGTCGCCGGTGTCCCGGCGGCTGCCGCGCAAGGTGGAGTCCCTGGAGAGCCTCTACTTCACCCCCATCCCCAGCCGCACGCAGTCCCAGCTGGAGAGCAGCGCCGGCTCCCTGGGCGACCTCTCGCTTGACTCTGGGTGCAAGACCCGCTCGGCCCGGCGCCGCACCACCATCAACATCACCATGACGAAAGTGAGCGGCCCCTGGGTGCGGGGCAGGGAGGGATCCGTGGGGCAGGATCTCCATGCTGAGGACAGGGTTGCGCGGTTTGCTGTGCCCTGCAGCCTGGGGACTCTCTGGGGACCAGAGGCAAAGACAGGGATGGCTTTTAATCTGGTTCCTCCCCTCCTCTTTGCCTCTTACCTACGGGACAGCAGCCAGGCAGGCACAGGTCACCCCATGGGCTGCTCCAGTCCCTGCCAAGGGTCACCCTGGGACAGGCTGGGGGGTTTGATACCTGGTTGGGGGTAATCCCCGGTATCCATACAGGTTGGGGGATGAGGGGATGGAGAGCAGCCCTGCAGAGAAGGACTTAGGGCTACGGGTGGATGAAAAGCTGGA